CGTGCCGGTCGGGCCGACCGGCAGCGGCAGATCCCTGCTCATAGAATGTCAGCCATTTTTCCTGCTCCTAACAGATACATATTTGACAATGCAGTGTGTAGGGCTGATAATGTAGTGTGTAAGCGCACATTTAGTGTAATATCGATGCAAATAGGACCGTATCCTATTACACACGGTGATGATGTAGCAACGGTACCAGAAGCAGGCCTACCTTGATGATTCCCTTGATGTACCCATGGCGTTCGGCATAGTCTAGTGAGCGCAGCTTGGCCGGTCCTTTCCTGTGTTTGTTGTGGGACTTGAAGACGCTTCCAGCGCCCTTACGCTGTCCACGAATGACGCGGCCCATGGCGACAAATCAATCTGGGGTTAGGGAGTAGCAGTATTTGACAAATCCATATTTTGGCACTGAAATCAGTCTTTTTCTAGCACACTTCAAAAAAGGTGCCCTTCCATAGACGAGGGCAAGTCTACTGGACTACTTATACATCTGGTCCTATTGAAGTTTTTCATGTGACATAACATGATGGGCAAAGGCATTTCAGGAAGTGTACCATGTCCATGGAGGAGCATGCAATTTCGAATCTGGGTAATTCCTATTGACTATTTCACGTACATCAGGATGTTGAGAGTTTTCGCGAAGGCACCCACATTTTTGCACACATTTGAGTAAACTGAACGCTGATCGACAAAAATCAAGTGACTGAAAATGCCGAGTATGGCAAAAGCACTTTGTAGGCCAAGTAAAAACAAAAACATCTATCACAGAGACACAAGTCAGTGCGTGGGCTCTGCAATGATTTCACCCTTGAATCCAAGAAGTAATTTATGTGCCCTTGATTAACACTCTCCAAGGTCATCACCCACAGGGGTTGCACAAGTTTTTGGTGATTCACTAAGGTGGATGTGGAAACGGTGTAGTAGTGAATGGAAATGGCACGATAATGGAAACAAAGATGGGAATTTCATTAACAGAAACGATTGGGCAATTGCTGAAATGATGAATTTAATAACTGGCTTGGGTGAGTCAAGCCATATCAGAGATACATGTATGGGGCTCAAAGGAAAAATTTTTTTTCCCGCAAAGTCCCCAGGAGCCCAATTGACTAGCCCTAGTGTAGCTACAGACCTTTCTTTTCTTTTCCTTCCAGGCGAAAACAAGATGGCTGGTTGGGCTGCATGAGCAGGCCCGACTTCGTCGCTTAAATTTCCACACTCAAGTATCATTTCGGATAGGTGATATACTGATTATTTGGTGAAGCCTAATGAACATTGTAAGTAGGCTATAGGCTTAAAATGCTTGCAAAAATATGCTATTTGCTAGAATGACTTGTTGACGCTAAATAGTATGACCGACATCATTGCAGTTAGGGGACTACAGTCATGCTATTTAGCGTCAACAAATGTCAAATACTGAAATTGTGTCAACAGAGCGTCAACAACCTGAAAATACCCTCTACAGATTTAAAAATGGTTTTATCATATTTTAGAGACTCTAACACTTGCCACTGTCGTGACTATGTAAAAGGAACGCTGAATTTGCTTCCAGATTCTCACAGAAAAACGAAAATTTTTTGCTACTCGTATGTATGGGGGCCGCCATTTTCCTTTCCTCTGCCATCCACGCGAAAAAAAGATGGAGGCCGGTCAGACTGCACAAAACTGAAACACTCAAACCAATCCGACTTTGTCACTCAAATATCATTTCATATAGATATGATAGATTGAATTTGATATGTAGGAGCCTCCTTAACATTGTAAACAAAACATCTTTGCGTAAATATGCATGAATAGCTTGTTGACGCTAAATAGCATGACCTGGGGACTACACTGCACTGTACGCCCTACTACTACACGAATAGTACTCCATGTACTAGACATGAACAAACCCACAGTTCTCCACATATCACGTCTACAGTAATTTTGATTTTTTGACTTATTTTACCGTAAAAAACTTTAATTACGATACTATTTATGATAAACCGACCAGATATGTTTCAAACCAAATGTTAATACTCAAATGTTAACACACGATTACAAAGATATTCTCAGATTCTAAAACGGCACCCTCAGCTACCGCACTCACATCACGGGTCCACAACGTTAAAGAGGTCGGTCATTGGGAACAATATCCCGGATGTCGGCAGGGCGCCCTCTCGTGCCATTGAACTCCTTTGAAAGTTCTTTCTCTTTAGTCGTAGTATATCTCGAGTATGGTAAAAAGCTGATCGTACTGGCATTGGGATTGTACTTCTTATCTTTTTCTGTTTGAAGAAGGAAAGCCAGACATTATGGGTAGCTTACCATTATGATCAATGCATCTCCATCAGGCGCGTTTCCATAGCCTATTTTTTAAGGGGGGGTTGACCCTTCGCACGTGACGTCCACCTTTTAACTTTCGCTATTGTCTTTTCACTTTTGGAGTCGAAAAACCCTATATTCATATACAGCGCGTTTTTCAAGTGTTTGGCAAGTAATAGTAGCCAATGTAACATTTCCAGTTTGTTTTCCAATTTTGCGGGGGGGGGGGGGGGCAGAACCGCGCTTTATCTCTATTATGCACACACAGGATTGTTTCTGTTGTCTAAATTTAGGTTGCTTTCGTTTCATAACCGTTGTTGGAGTGGCTGTTAAGCAGGCCACTCGATTTGCGAAATGAAACAAATCCAGCTATCGATTGTAGGAAACTACAATATACGAATCTCCACTTGATAATGTTTAATTGATTTACATGAACATGTACGCCATAAACATGCCCAACACACATACATACATTTCATGAGAATGATTTATCTACATTGTCTTCCATTTTTTCACAAATACTGTACATGAAGCTAACATAATTTATGGGTATTTGCGTAGTAGTGTATAAACAATCCAAATAGGTTCAATAGGTGCTTGTCAGGGGAAGTATTTTTTTCAAAGTTGCACCGTCAATAAAAATGCTATTACTTTGGAGCCTTATAATTTTTCTTAGTATCTGACTGCCCTTTGACATGTCTTGCGGCGTGTTATTAGCGGTAGTGTGTCATTGTCATTAAAACTGTTTTTTTGGAGGGGGAGAGTTGTATGATGGATTGCAAAAGAACGTATCATTGAGTCTGAGTGCCAGTTGAGGCTTCAAAGACGCTATCAAATCTCTAGATTAAAAAACTAACATCTGTACGTGCAGTTCTCGTTTTTCTTTTAAGTCTAATACCACTTTTCGAAGAGCGCACATCTGGATACCAGGCTGGAGGGTCTGAGCTTTGAGCCGGATCAATAGAGGGCGCATTTTTCTTAGCAACGGTGGCTCTTTGGGTCAGAACTGAACTTCGCTGGTCAACGAACGACTTTGAAATGCAAGCGTTACAGTTACATGGCTATCATCGAAATGACCACTCGCCCCCACAGCTGACCGATGTTGTATTAACGTCGTTAAAGGCGATAATCAAGTTAACGTTGAAAAAACGTCAGTATCTAACGTCTTTCTGACGGCATGTTTGCAACCAATGCCGACGTCAGGTTAACGTATAACTCACAAGTTGAGAACACGTTAGATCAACGTCGAAATGCCATGAAAACGTCTAACTGACGTTGAGGCAATGCTGTTTCTTGGTCATTACACTTCCAGTCGACGCTCATTCCACCCTTTCCAGGATTCTTTTTTCGCATTTAACAAATGTTGAAGTGACATCCCATCGCCAACAACATAAGTTACCTATTAAATGTGGAAACTTCCCCGGGGTGGAGGGTTTCATTGATATATGGACAAGCAGAACTTTTGTCAACTTGTTCATGTAATCAGAGTTTACTTCTCTGCACCCTGTTATAGATTCCAGGATCATACTTAAAATTTATTTCGGAGCTGTTTTTCTTTTTTAGCCTCCCTAAATTAATCATGGCGGGTACATGGAAAACAAAACAAAACAAAAAAACTTTTTCATTAAAATATTACTTTTTCTGGTAATAAATGGCGTTTACATATTAATCTGCATTCACAAAGCAAAACATATGTGAAAATCACAAATCAAATGATTGTGGAACTTTAAAAAAGGGCAGAATCACTTGGGAAATCTACAAACGCCCCATTCGTGTTGACGTGCACATTAAGGTCAAAGTTTACAGTGTAAAACATTATTTTAGTAATTGAAAAGCATTTCACAAACACACTACAAATATGTGTGACAACTTGAAAAGTGGTTTACAGTAGATTACTCTCTCAAAGGCAGTACAACATTATACATTTTACAGTAACATTTTTACGGTGCAGATGTAAGTTACGCAGCGACTACAGACGGACGTCCACCCGAAGTCAAAACATGGACCATTGATTAACGTCAGATATTGACCGTATTCGGGCAGAAGTTCAACGTTCTAAGGTTGACCTCAAATCGACGTCACCTGTCGACAAAAAACTGACGTCGGGCTGACCAAATCTGCGACACACAGAGAGATAAAGCAGTACTTCTGTAGCCAACGTTTGCCCAAAGTCTGATACCGACAGTGACGTTTTTAGACCCTTGCTGATCGACCGTTGCCGACGTTGGGCCAACATCGGTCTGCTGTCTGGGCAAGAGCCCTTCTGATCAATGTGGTTCTCAACGGATTAGGGGGTATTTTTGCTCGAGGTGTATGGGAGGGCCAGGGTTGTTAACTCCTTTTAAATATGATGTCACTGACAAGCACGGAATTTATCACTATTTTTCAACCTCTCGAAAGGGTCCAAGGAGAGTAAGTTTTCACAGTGGGTCTGATCACATTGTTCCGGGTTCCGTTTGTCATACCACTAGCCCGCGCGCAACGTGAGCGACGTAGATACGCATCATAGTGCAGAGTGAAACGATACAATCGGCAGGTGTCAATGTTTTAGGGTCCATGGAAAAGGAATCAACATTGTGCATGCAAGCGGGAAACTGTTTGAAACCAGTTTGTACCATTGTCTCACTTTACTCTTTACCAGAAGCAACGGGTAAACTGTCTGAACCACACATACTCAAAAGAGATTACCTTTCTGGTGCTACCGCATAAAACAAACCTCTCTAACTAATTATAGAATAACCTTGGCATTATTTCAGTGTCACACAATACTGCACGCCGCTTTCCCTTACTGGTATCAGTGATAAAATGCCATATGGCAGACTGTTTACGGGAAGAAGATATGTATTAACTGTGAAATGATAGGACCGGCCATTACTGCATTTCAGTTTAAGTAAACAACGTGCAAGGGCCATTATTTTTTAACGAGCGTGAAACATTCACACAGCAAAAGCTTGTCATGTTGACAACATAATTGAGGGTTAAAACTTTTGTCTCTAAAAATTTCTTATAAGAGAGACAATATGAAGATTTAGTATTGCCGTTTTTCTGCGTAATTTGGTAGAGTTTTTGAAACAAAAGCTTGCTCCAATGGGATTCGAGCCGCTGACTACTTGCATAGTTGTGCACTCACCGTTGAGCTGGTCAGACGATTATTCGTTCCAATCGATACGGTATAGTGGGTACCGCAATTACTAACGGCGCAACTGTTGCTGGTTTTGTCAATGTGCTGCCAGATTGTCGAAGCAAATTTACCATTTCCACTGACAAGGGCGGGTTTTTACAAGTATACTTTATGAGTAAAACCCAACACATTGCTCTTTTCAGTATATGTAAAAACATTCCCGTCATGCGGCAGTATTATGAATATTATCTTGTCAACATCATGTTTTCTAGAGGGTAGTTTCACAAAATACAAGGTAAAACTGAAGAACAAAATACTTTGAAAAAATGCAACGTTTCGGCTCATTTTATACTTTTTTCACCCCAAAGGGTATTAATGAATGGGACTGAAAATTGGATGCGTTGGTTTTTAAAGGCCGGTACTGTAAAGTCCATCGGTGAGTGTGACTTAACCCTAAAAGAGCCGGGTTATTTTGGCCCATCTCAGGGGGAGGATTCCGCCCCAAGAAATTGGCTCTGTCGCGCTCGCTCACTCCTTGTGATCATGTGTAGTTTGGATTCAGTCGGACGTATGGTACAGTTGTAACAGTTATTTGAAGTTCAAGGCAATATGCGTGCGAGCCGTCGTGCATTGAGCACCGCAGTAGAAAATGTTTATGTTTCTGACTGACATGTCTCGGAAACATGCGCACTGTGCAAGGACGGTGTGTTCTTTTTTCACAAAAGTGGTGCAAACATGACGTAATTAGTTAAGCTAAAACTCCTGAAGGCTAAACTTCTGAAAGAAATTTGCACCGTGAAGATATCGGAAAAAATGCCGAGGGATGGACGAATCTAACCCAGGCTATTTCAGAGTTAGGTTCCGCCCTGTCATGTGATCATTCTGGGCCGATAACAAACAGCATTTGAGACAGAGGTACAACAAAACACGTTACAATCTTTTTAGTGGTTAAAGGTGGCAACTTTGACTTCGAAAAATGTTGAAATTGAGAGAGAAACGAATTTCCCCCAAAGAAGCACAAACACAATGCTCTGGTTACAGCTGGTGCCTCGCAAATGTGCCAGTGTTTTGAGCCAAACCGACATATTTAATATTTATAGTAATGAATGCCAACGCAGCAAGCAGGCTTATAAATTTCGGTCGTTTATAATGCATTAAGGCCAGTTCATATAATTCAGACGAACGCGAAACGAATTTGACATTACGCAAAATTTGTAACTGTGACCGGTCGACTATTCTAGTCACCTGGTCCATCCACTTCTGTAACATTCCTTATTCACTTCTAAACTTCAAAATTCTTCTTTCTATACATGTACCTCAAGAACAGACTTGTACTATTTAACATAATTAGATGCAGCCTTGTGTTGTAGAGCGCCCTCTCTTTTAAGCCTTCACTTTATACACTTGATAAAAATAGCTGGCAACAATACTGTGTAGTGCGCTCTGTGACTTTTTTGTATTGACTGGTGTATTTGCATATTTACAGAGCCATGTATGCCACGCACCTGACAGTAGTGACTTGAACAGTGTATTGTTTCTGCCCAGTGGTGTAACTACGGGGCCCCCCAACGGAGGCCCGTGTCCCCGGATGCCCCCCATTTGAAATTTTGAAATGGACATTTACTTCCATTTATGTAGGTAGGCGTTTATACAGGCACCTAGTTCAATTATTTTCAGTGCTCCCTGAAAAAATTGTGCACCCCAGCGGCCCCCTCAGTTGTAGCACCCTAGTTACGCCACTGTTTCTGCCCTGCTTTTGTTCACCAGTATGAAAGGCTTTTGTGGTTCTCTCCACCCTGTGGAGTGGGCATTAAGCAGAAACATTCGGATCAAATCACTCTGGTTCAGAGCCTCCTTTCCTGAGCATCAAGTTACTGGCTGCTACTTCTCATAATCGTTATATTTGTATTAAACACTGCATTCATTGCCTTGGTGCATACTGCGTTAGCGACTGGCACGAGTCGAAGGACGCTGTATGCCATCCTTTGGGTTCCTCACACTTCATAATTAAGGTGTATCAGTTCTCCATACGGCTATAATGTTGCATCCTGACTCAACTTTTCTCATCATATATCATCTCAATAAAAGGCGGTCATTACAGAAATGCTGGACTGAGAAACATTTACCGATGTTGTTGGGAAATACTTAGACAATTCTCTTCCCTTCCCATAGACTTGTACACAACTGCTGAAGTGGAGTCAGGATGCAACATTTTTCCCTCCATGCTACCGGCTACGCTGTTGGTAGTTTGATATAGTTATACACTGTGTGTACTATTTTCATAAACTCTGAGAATGATAATTATAAAGGGAAAAACTGCTGTAACGCGGTCTCTGGGATTTCACACATTACCTTGTTATAACAGTTACCTAAAATTGTCCTTGTTGTAAATATGACCTAGTATGAACAGCGCTTTTCTTAATTATGTGTTGGACTGCATTCGGGAAAGTAAGCGTAACTTGTGGGTTAATTCTAACTCACACATATTTAATAAGATATGTTATATTGTACATTGCTATATCCAACGAACAAATTGACTATTGATACATGAAACAAAGCAAACTGTTGGGATTTTGAAAGATATTTTAGACTATGAACTTGGTTGTAAAATGAACTCAAATTAACAAATTTTAATGTGAAAGTGAAATTAATTTATTAGATAAATTAATTATTTAATTAATTCAGATACGCTGTGTGGCGTTGTACATAACTGAAAATAAAATATCTAATGTAGTAGTTTTTGCGCCATCTTGTTCCATGTTGCCTTTATTTCTGGGTCCTAATCCCACTTGGTTACACAACGAAATTTTGCCCGAATTAACATGTGAACTTACGAAATCGAATTCACAAATTCGCCTTCGTTTTTGCTTTCGCTCGAAGTATGAACGTGCCTTTATAAAAATCATTAATTTTTTAAAAGCTATAATTGTGTCATCACCAAAGGTAGGATGACTGAATCATATGCCCTTGAGAGGGAGAGCTCTCACGATATTGTTGAAATATACATGTATTAAGTTTTGCTGATAGAAAGCTCGATCTTTGTTGACAGAACTATGCATGAACTACTTTGGGTTGAAAACACCTGCAGTTTGATACTTCAGTTGATACCAGCTGTTGATACTGAGATCAAAAGTATATCTCCGTAATCATAATTGGAAAGTCACAACCATGCATCGCTGCATTCGTGACAACCGAACAACGGACAGATGGCGGCTTGTTTGGATTAAGCAAAACTGCTAAGCCTATATAAATGCTCCCAACTTCTGATGTGAACAAAACGTCCGACGGCAGAACACGAAGTGTCTGGTATCCGACTCAAAGCAACACACCTGTGGTGAGTGTCAATCATCTGCGAGAGAACTGCACTCGCTGATCACAATCATTTATAATATGTCGTAGGCCTACCTCAGCCAATTCGGCAACTTTCATAGTTATGCTTTTAGTTATGGTATAGGCCCCTGCTATCATGTTATTACACAATGATGTTGTTTTATAGACTTCAGCCATTCTCAGGCAGAACTTAAAACATCTACACAATAGACCGTATTGAACACATTCTGTCGTCTTTAAAAGTCTTCTCGGTCAGTTTTGTAAAGTATTCATTCATTCGGATGCATTGTTCGTCCATTTTCGAGGAGGTTTGCTCTGAGTACTCGTTTAACATTTAACCTTTTTTTCAACTCAATCAAGTAGGCCTACACGTGTCTCAGCCAACCGAGATTAGGTTTCTTTTTCATGAATCTTTAGTCAAATTAGCCGTACATGCAAATCAATTTAGAACAACCAAGTTTTGCAGCTTCGGATTGCATTGAATGGAAGTGTACAAGCTATTTACAGGATCCCTCAGCAAAAAAAAAAGCAAAAAAAAAAATAAAATAAAAAAATAAAAGTAATAATCTTTTAATATCTCCCACAACAGCTTTTGAAAATTGTTGTTTGGCATCATATTACAAACGAAAGTACTTATTTCTACTTACACTACATTTACTTCAGTCAGTTTGTTGCAAGGGGATGATCTCACGTCTCTAACATAACCACTTCGAACCATTTGAGGATCCTGTCTGTTGATGGAAAATAGGAGGCTTGCTCATAACATAATGGAACCCTGTTTAGTTTGGTATCATAATTCTATGAGTCTTTCGAATGATTTTCTTGATGCTATTAAATGGTGTTTCCTTGATTCTTATTTATGGCGTAAACAGCATTTTACTCCCATTGAACTGAACAAAAAAGTAGTTTTTGGTTTCAAATGAAGACTTCAGTTTTGAAAAGATAACATTCTAAGTTTCAATTTGACACAAAAAACAACTACTGTATTTGAAGAAAATACCTTTCGGTTGTGTTTTTAAGGACGCTCTGGACTATGTACTCTACTACTCTGTACACTAACAAATGTAGACCTTTCAAGGCAAGCCATTGTGTAATGGAATTTTGTTTGCTTCTCTTTTCCCAACAGATATTCCGAGTCACATGTTTCTTAGTAAACTGTGGTCACCCAAGTTTAACCATGGTGTTTAAATATCAAAGGTAAGTTTCCTTCATGTACCACAGGCCTGTAGTTGATAACAACACACGTAATGTCCCATCTTTTATATAAGATGAATTGGTACATTTATATCCAACTTGACTTTTCATCACTTAGGTTTACACCAAATAAAATCACGAAGTTGACGTTTTGCGTAGGGCTCATAACTGCAGCCTCTCACGTGCATTATCCTATGGGGGGGGGGGGCTCTGGATGTAAGATAGTAAGAGGACGCCAGCCGAAGAAGCAACCTAAATATGGATGTTCGTTAACGTGCTCAATGTAAGTGAAGTGACATGCAGATAGCCACGAAGTTTAAAAGACCACAACAGAAAAACCATATGGTAGATTGAGTTCACACTTGTAGTTAAATGATTGTCTTTACATACAGGCAATTTTAAAGAAACGATAGAATATGGGAAAGCAAAGTTGGGGGGGGGACTCACTCCGGTTGTGAGACAGCCTGAAGAGGCCTAGGTCTGTTAGGATTAAACGTCACAGTCAGTGATGTCATACAAGGGGGGATAGAGGAGAAAAATCAACCCCTAGCGAAAGTCTGTACCCTGCTACCCCCATTTGAAATGTGCCAAATAATAAAAAAAACTATTTCAGCTCCCCCCCTCCCCAAACACATTTTGATAAGTAATTACTTCTCCTCAGACATTTCACTGCAGTTGCGGAATAAAACTCGACAATTAATGTTTACCAAGGAGAGTTCAAATAATCAACTGCCAACACTGTTGGGCTCTTATTGTCCAACAGTTGGGTACTCCCCCCCCCCAAAGCTACTGACATTTGGGTAGCCAAAGACCAACTGTTACATGAAATGGTATTGCCCAACTTTTTTACCCATTTTTTTTACAGTGCCCAGTCGAGAATTTTGGTACAAGTAGTTGGCGAATTGTGGTTGGCAAATAGAGATCATAACCCAACAAATATTCAAAATGCAATTCAGTATTGGAATAAAATCTAGAACTATCAACATAGGCATTTCCAAGTTCTCCCCAAAGTGACAACCTCTTTTCTCCAAGCATATTACTCTTCTGAGTGAAAGCTATAACCAACCAAAACTGAAATGGTTCAAACGGATACATGGCAGCAAAATGTTCGAAAGCAAGTTAGTGGGTCTGGTGTGAATGGGATCCCTCATTTCAGTTCGTTAACATTTCAGTCGGCCTTTCTTTTGTGTATGCACCTCTTATAAAATTTTGCTTCTGTGTTCCTGCTCTAACAATGAGAATCTTTGCCAGGGCTTCAAAATCTCGGCCTCGTCCCAGCAGCTGTGTCCAAAATTCACCCCTCTGCCTTTCAGTGTAGCTGCAATTAATATTTCTTAGACACAATTTTTGTGCAACTTTGTACTCTTCTTTACTGTATGAAAACTCTTTTACACTTCTATGGGTTAAATACATTGAAAAGTGCACCTTTTTTAAACACTTGAAAGTTTCCGTGTTTTCCAAGACAAGTTAGGGCGTTGTTGGTATGATGTCATCTAGGGAAGACGTTGATCAGTGCATAGGTTTTGCAGTTCGAATTGTGAACCTTATAGAATATACTCACGGAAAACATTTCTGAGAAAGGGATTGGTGCTTGCTTATTGCTATGCACATGACCAACAATGAATCAGCAAAGAAGAGAATAATTATGTAGTTCAGCAAAATCTACAAAAACGAAGGATATTTTCGAGTATAAATCAATGTAACACTGAGACTTTTTCTGAGTTGACATCAGAGTTTTGCTCATAGATGTGAAAATACTCATGAGCATAAAAGTGGTGGTAGAACACCTTTTGAAATATTCAAACAAAGTATTAAAACAAATCGATTGCCGCTTCCCCTGCAGAGAAGCAAATCGAGCTGTAAGCTACACCATAAAAATGAAGTATTTACATTCAGTCCGAACATTCTGTAGGCCTGTAAGTGGCCGAGTAGCACAGACATACAGAGATGCCAACTTTTCAAAATGAAAAAGTGTAATCCAATTGCACGATACCAAATTACCCACTATACATTTCAACAGAAATACATTCAAACCCTATGAGTTGAAATTTATTGTAAAACTCATGATAGTTAAGGCTAAAAAAATAGCTCTTCCCCGGTTTCCCGACCGACCCTAGTTTTTGGCGCGACCCTACAATTTTTACATTAAGTTAGAAAAAAGCAAATTTTAAAAATTAAAAGCAAAACATGAAAAACCTTGTTGACTTCTCTTTCTACACATAACACCTCTCAACAAAATGTTTTCACGTCGAACACTTATATTTTTCTGACTGACGTTGTGCACGGTGGTGTAAACTGTCCTTAATTCTTAGGAATTGTCGACTGTATTATATTTATACACTGATTGAGGAAAGTTTTTATCAGTGCTGTGGCAGTTTGTTGTAGCCTTCGTCCCCATTCAATCAGCACAAAAAATTGAAACAAAAATTCCGAATTATCGACCCTATTTTTGAGAGCCATGTAATCGGAAGGAGAGCATGCTTTTTCGTGCTAATGTGCTTCTCGGTGCCTTTTAAGATCCATCGTGTGCACTTTATCATGTCACAGTCACATGTGCTGCAAAGCACTTCAGCTTCTCCACGACGGGACTTTGCAATAAGAGGCCCATTTTGGTGTATTCGTCCCCGAAATTCTGGTCACTTCTTGTCATTGTCACAAGTCCACTTGCTCACCGAAAATCCAAGAGAATCGAATTCTCGACATAGCTTCGAATAGAGACAAAACAGAGTTTTTGGAGAGTCAAAGTAACTATTGTATGCGTCAAGGGCGGATCCCGGGGTAGCAGCGGGGCCAAGACTAATATTACCATTATTACGGAGTGCTCGATTTTGTCCTGAAGTATCGTTGGAGATTGGACACATCAGTGACCCTTTTGTCTTCCTCTCTGCCGTTTGGCAATACAGAGTATAATCATCAGCCACAAACCCTTTTATGGAATCATAAATAGTTTTTAGTTTTTAATTAAAAGAAGGTTTCTTCTATTTTTCCAAGCGTGTGTGTACACAATAGCAAATTCTACTGCGGTGTGTGTGCAGGAAAGGATAAACCGACAAAGAGAATTGTTGCTTTGAGTATGAATGTTTGTAAATACTAGACAATATTTTCCCCTCAGTCTGGTATGGGCCGTGTGCATCCTGTGCGAGGTACTGCGCCCCAACCGCGTAAGCGCGTGCCCTCAAGCCACCACATCATGGACACAACTCAGTGGGGCCTTGAAGCACGTTTCTGTGGGTAACTCCGGGGTGTGGGGCGTCAACACCCACAACTGGATTTACTACAAGGGCACCTCGTACGGGGAAGAGGAGAGCCCTACTTGCAGGGCTTGGGAAAAGGTCAGCGGCTCCCTGACGCAGCTCGATGTCGGTCACAACATAGTGTGGGGAGTTAACGTTCACAATAACATCTATTATCGGCAGGGCATAACTGCAAGTAATCCGAAGGGGAGGGATTGGGTTCAGGTTTCTGGGGCTTTGAAGCACGTTAGTGTCAGCCAAAGGGGCCACGTCTGGGGCGTCAACAGGCAGGACTACATCTACCACCGCATTGGGGCCAGCAATTGCAATCCGGCCGGGGATAGTTGGCGGAAACTGGATGGGCGGCTGAAGCAGATCTCGGTGGGCAGCGGGGGCGTGTGGGGAGTCAATTCGGGCAATAACATCTACTACCGGGTGGGTACCTACGGTGACCTTCCGTCGGATCCCGATGGTAGCGACTGGAAGCAAATCCAAGGCAGCTTGAAGTACATCAGTTCGGCCGATATGATTTACGGGGTGAACTCAAACGATAACATTTACTACCGCGTGGGCGTGTCGGAAGGGACGCCCTGGGGTACAAGATGGGAACAGATACCAGGGGCACTGAAACAAATCGAGTCTCTTTCGTGCGTGGTGTGGGGTGTTAACCGCAGTGACAATATTTACAAAAAGAAAACTGATAATTAAACAGGAGGAAGCAGAAGGTGAACGAAATAACCGCCATGAGACTCGATTGAAATATTCATTCAGTTATTAAAAAAATGGTAAGGGTGATTATTTTGACTGATAAATTCTATCAATTTCTGATTTGTTGTTTGGTGTTCCTAGACTCTGGACAAATGACTTTTATTTGATTTCATGAAGAGGAGAATTGCCTTAGTTCTTAGTTCAAAAGTATTTGTTCTAAAGATGTAGGATTGATGTCTTTCGTTTTTATCTGAACACAAGGCTAAATCTTCAAACTAAAAACTTCCTGCTACCGCTTTCAGGTCATCTATATCTAAAAGGACAATTTTTAGCAGAAAAATGCTTCAGCCAAAAAACCCTTGGAATTTGGTCGAAGAACTCCCCTTTAAAAACTGTTTTCAGGAAAAGCAGTGTGTAGTGCTCTATTCATGGAATTGCTCGACAGTGTCCTCACTTTAGGGGCTTTATTTGATGTTCAGATCTAACCGATTTTTGCCTTTAACAGGAATCCACGCTTGCTCAATTGCGATGTTCATTGAAATTGTTTTGATTTTTTTGTTGCTGTTGGAAGTATTTATAGCTGCCACAAGTAATCGTAAATATGGAATGAGACACGTTCATAAATTTTATGTTTTGATAGGTCTTGAACATGATAGTAGTTCTTGTTTAATTCAACTTACTTTAAATTGTTTCACTTGAATTGTTAGAAAAATGTGATAACATGCTGGTCACGAAATATGTGGCCTGCATCTCGTCATGAAAAGCATAATTATGTAAATTTTTGCCAGCTCTGAAAATGACATGTGTTTTTTTCGGTCTGAATGTTAATTACCGATTCTTAAAAACACTCAATGAATTAATGATGCACTATTTACATCAACTGTTTCAAAACCCAAACTCTGACAACTGATACTTAATGTAGGCCTTCGCAACCTGGAAGCTTTACAGTAGTTAATTTCAGTACATTTGTGATTTCGAAACGCCTTGACTTCACTTTTTTACTGTTCATTGGTTACTTTCCACGGTATGTTAAAAGGGGCACATGTAAGGATTTTAAAGACAAATTCCAAAATTGTGCAGTTTATTTACATCACTAGAAATATTTACGGATGTTATTACGTTATTCATCCAGTATTGCATAATTGTGTATTACATTCATGCTAAATCTTACATAACAATGGCATATCGGTGAATTTCCATGATTTGTAGCAAAACAGAAACTTCTGTTACAACAGAAACCTGACAATTTGATCGAAGAAATTCCCTTAAAACGACTGGTTTTAGGAGTAAGGGCCCATAAAGAGATTACAAGAGCTTTGTCATAAACAATTATCTAAAGGGTCGTTTGTTTTACCAGCAAAAAAGTCTGTTAAAAAGGGAACCGAACAACATGATCGAAGAACCTCCTCTAAAAATTCTTTCAGGAAAAGCACTGAGTAGTACTTTATTCGTGGTATTGCTTGAAGGTGTCCTGAATTTTAATAGGCTAATTTCATGTTCAGACCTTACCAAGGGCCGTATATTATCATTCACACTTATTCATGGAGCCGTAACAGCTATAATAATGTCTTAATTTTTTGCATGAAAGTGACATGCATTTTCTCAGTATGAAGTTAAAGATTCCTATTAGAGGAGAATTCCAGAATTGTTAAAGTTATTCGCGCAACTACAAAGATTTCTGGACATTTTACTGCTTCTTTCAGAACTGCAAGTTTCCTTCATGATGGGGATCTTAGGGATTTTGAGTTTTGATTTATTTTGATCCGAAAAGAGAAATTGCACGAGAAATTAAAAACAGGAGCATGAAAGGTTTTATGTTTCTTTGCATGTCTGTCTCGCATGTTCAACGGGTTCATAGGAAAAACTGCATACGATTTTTGTCTCTCCCCAATCATGTCGAGAGGGCGCTGTTTTAAACCACTTGTCGCCGGATGACAGGTAAACACGCACAATTTCCTTGTTTGTTCCACGGAGGACGTGTACACTCATTTAAGAATTTTTCAGTTCAGTCGTGCTTGGTTGGATAGACGATGGGAAGACGATCCTACATGCATGCGAACGCTGCACAACAAGTGGACCCCTATTCTCACAGTAATCCATATGCCTTTCTTGAGACATTAGAATTGCAATTGAGAGTATACCAGGCACGAAATGGGACAGAGGGGTACCCCCCAAGTCCAATCCCTATACACACTCCAGCTGATTGTCTCTCAACGCATCCCCCAGGTGTCTGGAAAGAATTCCTGAGATACCAGTCTTACAATGACCAACACAAAGGGGGGGGGGTTCTCACTTTCCCATAATTTGCTTCATTTGTTTGAGAGTCCACATCATACACTCAAAAAGAAAATTAAAGACATCCTCTGTTTGGGTAAACCGATTTGCAAGGGAGTGAAACCACACTTACAAAAGAGATAAATGTACCAAATCCATACTAGCAACTCTTATGTCTCGAAACAATTGGTAAATAACAACATGGCCATGGGTGACTGTTGTACACGCCATGGCCGGTTGGCGTCTGGACACACGCCACTATTTCTACTTTCTTCTTTTCTATACGTTGAAAAACAGCTGAACAAAAGAACTCAGAGGGAAAAAAAATGAAAATAGTGATGCCTAAATTCAAAAGCCGTGCGTCCTCACATATTTTACGGGCGCGACAAATCAATTTCAAGGTTGAAGATTTTGCGAAATGAAAACCCCGCCCCAGTAGCTTTCTCAGCGAAGAAAACCCGACCTCAACTAGCTATACTGACCGTGTGAGGTTTCTTGCTTAATTACAAATCGCAGATATAACGATGCGGATACTTGAGCGCTCCTGCCAAACTTTTACAGAAAACAATCTGTTTGGTAGATGGACTTTATTTGCTTATAGCCATTTTGGGTGTGGCCTATTGATATATCCAGCAAGAAAAGAGACCCAGGGGTACCCCCGCCACATGTCAAATCGCTGTACACTCTCTGGACTATTGTTTCCTAACACATTCTCCCTATATGTCTGTAAAGAATTCCTCAGATTCCAGTGAAACAATGACCAACACAAAGGGAAAGGGGTTCTCTCCGTCTCATATCTTGCTTCATGTGCCTATGGGAGTGCATAGCCGAATATCTCCCCCACAGGATCTAGGAATGCTCAAATATTGAGTGAGAGATGGTGATGTCTTACGGAAAATAGGCCTTTCTCTTAATATTTGCGCAAACTTTATACACCGGAACTGAAAACGAGGCCGTACAGGATATCGCCTTGTCGGCGAACAGTGCAAAACATTGTTCAGTGCCTTGTTGTAGCAATCACGAACTAAAATCATCACTAGAAATTAGCTGTCATCGATTTAAAAAAAACAAGATCCTGTGGAAAAATTGGACTGTTAAGATCACACGAGACTGTGGGACCACTAATCAACGTAATGTATGAATTCGAACCACTTCTTTGGGCACTTAAGATGTTCGATAAACATCGTTATCACTGGCCCTGCACCGTACACATTACTGCACTTTGGTGCAGTTCGATCGATCCAGTGTTTTCTTTCCTCCATGTTTGATAGCACCCAGCACGTCTATAATTTTCGAATTAGCACCTATAGAATCCTAAGCTTCGAAAGGAAACAGCCATGTCACCAAAGGTAACCCGCTGAATGAAAAAAGTCTTCAAACTGCTCGATCGTGGCGACAACCGGCTCTTTAGGCCTAGACATAAACGGAGCATGCATGCAACGTCAACGAAAGTCCTAAATGAAAATCCCGTTAATAAACTGCTTACCCTTCAGATTATGAATGTATAGGCTTCTGAAAAATACTTGTAGCCTTTACCAAGCTGTTGCTCTTCACTGCTTTTGGAGCACTTTTTGACGTAATCCTTCACAAACCCAAAGGTTATCTCGGGAACCACGGAAAGATCCCTTCCGTTTACAGCCATCGTGATCCTATAGCCTCATTTTCAGTTGTTAATAAAATTTGCATAAATATGAAGAAAAGTCTATACCAACAGAGTGTCGGTAACCCGAGACCTGTTGCCCTTCCATTCCAGCACTGGTTAATCCTATGGTCTCGGAATTCGGAAATCTTGTAGACTTGAAAAAGTCGGGATCCTCCGTGACGTCTGCGAATAATTTTGCTGAATATGGAAGCTGCGCGCCTTACTTGCTTCGCGCCCTCTTGTGTTCACTCATTACCTCGAGTTCAGAAATCCCGACTTGACTAATCTGCCAACCGTTTGTACACAGCGAATGGCTCATCTACCCAAACTGGTCGCAGCCAGTCAAATTCCTGGACTTGTTTTTATATTGTTAATACCTGCATAATGATAAACGGGTCTACAAGGCTGACTACTTTTATGGGGGGAAATTCCAAGTTGGCCCTCTTTTAAATTCAGCATACATTATGCAAGACATGCCGTTCATATGCAATTATGCATATCTAAATGTCATGGACGGGAGGGCCGATTGGTTTATCCGTCAAGTTGGACTTCCTGTAGCGTACGACATGCGTTGTAAATAATGCCATCAAATGAGGGCGCCTTATGAAAGTTATTCGAGCTGCCGAGCGCGACGAACGTATCATTGTGTACAGGCTAGTGAAGGGATGGCTGACTGGGAAAGCAACGTAAGTCCGACTTTATTCAAGTCTAGAAAGTTTGTGACCGGATAGGGCATGGTCTGTTACGTACCACGGAGTATCTCACATAAATTAGGTTTATTCACATTTTCTGTATTATTCCTAATTAGCGACAGACCGCAACTTAATAATTGTAAACGCTTCCCTAACCTGACCTGTTTCTGTTGAGGACTTGAGATAATGTGCACCCAGCGGCATTCCGTCTTTTTTCCAAGTTCAGAGTTAATGGTACCTTTCCTTATAAGAGAAGACGTAAAAAGACAAAATGGAAGGAACGGACGCTCGGAATACTGTTGCTCGATAAAATTCAAACTAAAAACCACACACGGAACAAGTTGAAAACCTTAAATAAATCACACCTTCAAACACAGCCAAAGCTGTTCTGCAAGTTCTGCCTACTATGTTTACACAGTACATGTACATAAAAATTAATGGCAACGTCAGTTAAATTAAATAAATGAAAATACATGTAGCTATCCACACCCTGGTGGGATGGCCAAGACAACGGTATACTTTTAACTGACCACGGGCTTGAACTTATGCTCGGAAATGGAGGATCAAAGTTACCTGGTGCCTGGGATGTATTTTGTCTAAAGGTAGAAGCAAGATGGTAGTTGAAATGAGCATGACAAGAATATCTTCTGTGAACCATTAAATTTCGGATTATCCCAGAAGGATCTCAGGAGGACGATCAGCGGTAAACCATGGGAGAGGGATTTATGTGATGAAGCGAACTCTTTCGCCGACTTTAAAAGTTCGTTGCTCTGCATGGCCTTTCAGATGTTCCTCTTTCCAAAGAATTTGTGAAATGTAGCGCACATCTTTACAATTTATAATGTGGGTCACGTATGGTCATGCCCCATAGAGACAAGGATCATAACAAGCAAGCATGCGCACTTTATTTTCAAGCAGAGAACAACGGTTTTTCGTGCAAGTAGACAACGTTATTGCGCGGAATTTTTCAACGACTGACCTCGTAAAATACTAAAGTATAAAAGCATAAATAAATTTCGGGAGAATCTAAACACGACATCGCGAACAACACACAATTTCCACTTTTAAGATTTTTAAATAACGATGAATCTCAATCAGTATAAAAAATGGATTTAACGGACCCTTTCTAATAGCAAAAGAAATCAAAGTTGCAAAATGTTGCACTAGTTTCATCAATTACTTTTTAAATAGAAAATAAGTTTTCTGAGACAGAAAGATAGCACCAAATTAAAGATTCACCTTTAATGCATTGACTTTAGTCATTTCATTTGAATCCACCGGAAAAAAATTTCAATCCAACGGGGCAAGAAAAGCCATTGTGTATCCATGTTTATCACCGAAATGGTATATCCAACACAAGGTGAAGATTTTCTGTTAGGTTGTAGAATTGTTATAATTGTTAAATTAGAGACAATTCCTGTTGATCACCTCTACTGCTGTGGACACTGACCAGTGTGGTTCCGAGTCGTCGCATCCGCCCCAGCACATGTGCATAAACATGTACCAGGCGTACGCATGTAAACACGCTTGTAACACGACAGCACGTGAGCCGTGACTCGCTGCAGCAAGAATGCTTCTCAAAAGTCTGCCCTTACAAGAGTATGGTGCAAGGGTACGCCTACCTCGTTTTTGTCAAAAAAAAAAGAAACCCCAATAATTTCTGACTATGAGAATTAAGTTTTATTAGAACATAATTTTTTTTAATGAGATATGTGACATACTTTTCTGTTACAAAATGTCTGGATTCACACGATTTGGCGCGAAAATTTGGTTCAAATTCAAACTCATTTTACCAAATTTTTATCCGGCGGATTCCCAGTTTTTGAGTGCAGCTGATTAAGACAGTCTTTTAGTTTATAAGAATCTATTTTTTATAATCAGGGAAACTCATTTTTAATAGATATTGATCAAATTTGGAAACACTATTTTTTCAGGTGAAAAATAACATAGTTTGGGAGTTATTTAAAACCACATTTTTCATTACCCTTTTTGCTTCAGGACACGAAGCCAATGCTACAGAAAAATAAAACGATTAATGTAATTTGGATTAGTCATGAAAAATCCCCGGAAATCCGTTTCCTGGAAATCCATTTACAAAGATGACGTCTCGTTTTGCAATAGGAGCGCGCGGACAGCCTTATGCTATGTCGTTGTTACGTGCAAATCTTGCCTCTCTCTTAGAATGGCACATTAACTGTTC